TATGTATCTTTCTCTTTCTCTCTCTGTCTCTCTCTCTTTCTCTCTCTCTCTCTCTCTCTCTCTCTCTCTTTCTCTCTCTCTCCCACCTTTTCTACCCAGTTTACCTGTCTAATATCTCCTTCCGACTGAAATAGTTGGTGTGTGCGGAGGGCAAGTCCGGTGGTAAATTACTGGGATTTATGTAGGAGGTGATTAGCTGGGGATGCAAACAGAAACGTTAGCTTCTACTTATATGAATAGTTTGCTTACTTGCATTTGATAATTTACTATCATTTTCATAGTAGGTGCCTTTTGCCAAAGAGGTAAGGTTAATGTACAAAGGAAACACATGCTAAAAATTATTGTGATGTTTATGTGTCGTTCAGGTGTGATGTATGTATTATTTATATATCGATTGCACGATTCTGTTATCTGTCGCTTATGTGTCATTGATGTGCCGTTTATGTTATGTTCATGTGTAGATCACGTTCTGTTTATGGGTGGTTTATGTGTTTTTTCGTTCAGCAAGATAGTCTCACCTATTGACGACTCTGAAAGCGTCACCTCTTATGTTTTGAGCGTAAACAACAGGTTAAATCAATTGCAGTAGGCACTAAAAATCTTTACAAGTCTGTAAGATTGCCTGACCAACAAACCACACACTACATCCTCTGTAGAAAACGGGCGACATGAAAAGTTCTCCTGAAATACTTTTATGTGGAAAGTTCACTATACATAAGTGGACCCTTACGCTAATTCCCCGACGGCCGGTCGGGGGAAAGTCGAGCTGAGCCTGTGCTTCATCAAATATGCCACAAACAAAGGGTTCTCCAGTATCGATAAAAAGTACAACTTTGAAATCACTTTTTAAAATCTTGAAAAAACACAACCTGAAGCTCCCACAATCCCATAAGGGATTTTGTCATAAACCTGCATAACAATTCAGATATGACAGTCCAATTTGGAGTTCCTGTTTCATAAATAACCCTACGGCAAAAAGAGGCAATACAATGAGCAATACGGTGAACTGTGCTAACAAAGTCTCAAACATGTGAAAAATATATATTGCCTATAAGCTGTTTAAAGGTACTCAGCCCTGAAACCATTTTTTCAGGGGAAAACAAAACTAGATTATTCATTTAGCAATTCTGTGCCTACATGGCTTCGATAGTCTAGTGGTTAGGCTACGGGATTCGTTATCATGAGCTGGTTCGGGGGCTTGAGCCTCAGACCCCACGTTGTGTACTTGGGAAAGGTACTTTACCCGAATTTTCCTCACTTCACCCATGTGTTAATGGGTACCCGCCATAGACAGCGAACGATTGTGTATGTTAGTGTTTTAGCGCCTTTATAATGGCAGCTTGCACAGTATGCTTCCCAGGTAGGAAGTTTAGATTGTTTCAGAATGCTATCAGGTCTGCTTGAGTAATAATTGTAGTAGATTGCAATGCGCATAGAGCTTGCTGTTGAACTGAACGAGACTTTTCGATATACAAAATACAAATGGTATTTGTTGTTAATATTATTGCATTATGTATATTTTCTTGCTATTTCAACTTAGAAAACATTCATGTTCACGTGCAATGTATACCACAGACAAAGAAATTGCAATAACATTTGAACAATAAAAAAAAGAGTTGGGGCTAACATCTGGGAACAGAGCAGTAGTGACAGCAGCAGAGTTTGTGGGCAGGTCTTTCCTTCATATGATCCTCCTATATTATGAATGGTGCAAGGGAAAAAGGCAGAGGTTCCATGCGTTCAAAGTTTTGAGAAAATTGTGAATCTAACTTTTGAAGACTTGTGGTATTCGTTGTGTGCACAATTGATGTTTCCCCTCGAATCTATAAGTATGTCCACTTATTGGCTATAAAGTTAAGTATTAGACTGCAAAGAGTTAAAGTATTTTGGTGGTAATGCTGTACAGTAAATGTGTGCTAAAATAACGTCGCTTGTTTTTCCCGTTGCAGTCCAATATTATGTATAATTTGCTTCCTAATTTGTCTATAATAATCTGTTTATGAGAATATCAAACAAAAATTAAACTTCATAAAGACAGACACATGACCAAGGAGACCCATGTAAAAAAACACTTTTACCATTGTTAATTTTCAGTTTATTGAAACTCTGTTGGAATTTAAACCACATATTTTAAGTAGAAAGAAGCATTGAAAGGATGCTAAAAGGCAAAGCAGTTGAACTGTATCAAATCCGACTGTAAAAAAAAGATTAATAAAGTACTTAGGAATAGAAAGTGCAGAAACTGACCAATCTGTTCAATACCTTCTGTTAACTGGAAATATTCCCTGAGACATAGATTTAATTTACTTCTACATTCATCGCGTTACGTCAAAAAAGCCTGAAAGCACAGACTGCAAATGCCACAAACAATTATTTGTTGGGTCACACAACAGGGAATCGTGTGGTCTAGAAGTATGGTATTCGCCTCTCATTCAATAGGTCCGGGGCTCAAAACCTGACAGCGACGAAAAAAAATTATACAATCAAACAATATATACCGTTTTGCTAAATATACCAACATTACCAGACTGATAACTATATAACCTAAACCTTTTGCTGTAAAAGTCGACAGTACATGACTGTTAGCTACAAAACCAGAACTTTTTGTTTTAAATGTCGCCATTACCTAACTAATAGACAACTTTTGTTGCTATTGTTTCTTATTACTTACCTGATTGACGGCCACCGAGCCTAAACTTGTGGTTGTTGTGAACGATCCCCAAGCTCCAAGTGATCTCCCTTTGGTCCAAGCCAGGAGGTAGCGGGCCATGAGGGCGTACCCCACACCTGAAGACATCAACACGACAGGAACGTTTTAGGGAAAAGGGTTAATGGAATAGCTACTCCCCGCAAAGACACACACACACACACACACACACACACACACACACA